CTCTATAATAAACAATCTTTAAGACGCGTGAAATGTTCTCTTTGCAGCTTGTCTACAATCTTTTAAAATCCAGCTAACGCTCAATTCAGAGAATTTGTTCTTGAGAATACAATGCTATAGCTGGGTTTTTGAAAAGGTTCTTTGTAAACCCTTTATGAAGCAACCATGTGTACCTCAGAGCAATTCATGGAATTATCCTAATACGGGGTACATGTATTTTTGTTCTTATCTTTTCTCTAGTGTGGTTTGCTTCTTACTCTTTCTTATCAGACATCTATCGTCTTTATCTATCCTCCTTCTTTTTTATGTTTGTAACTCTCTTGTAACACCTCAAATGTTCGACACTTATATATGACCTTATTTTGCTGCAAGTGCCCTAAAACTCTTACTAAAACAAAAACTAATCTTTTCAATAGCTTTTGTGTTTAGAATGAGGAGTAAAGACCTGCGTTTGTGGTTGATGTAGTGTTGGTGCTCCGCTATCGCACGTGGAAGACCTGAGCTCGATCCCTGAATGGGGAGAATTTTTATTGAATGCCTCTGTCTTTGTTCTGGGACGTTGCTTATTCTCCCTCTACTTATACTCTCAGCCAGATTTAGCCCTGTAATGCACGGTGGAAGCCCGCCTCCTAAATTGTTTAATTTGTGTCCATGGAGGTGTACCTCTACCTCACAAAAGGTTAATAATAATGATGATAATGAAAATCGTTTATGTAGCACCCACTACCGTGTGAACACAGCTCTAGGCGCTTTACGTAAATGCCTGTACAAACAATATTCACGCACGCACGCACGCACGCACACACGCACGCACGCACGCACGCAAACACACATAAACACACACACACACACACACACACACACACACACACACACACACACACACACACACACACACACACACACACACTCATGGTGGGTGCATGCACGCGCACAAACGCACTTACTCACGCGTGCAAAAAAACGTTGAGCTCTTCGGTTTGTTCGCCGATTATTATACATCATGTATTATGTGTGTAACGAGCCTCTTTGTTACGTCCAGACAGCGTATGTGATCTGGTGGACTATTAGCTCCGTTTGTTTTTCTTCTATCAAACAGGTCAACGATGCGTATTCTTGAACAGTTGGGGAGTGAG